TGATCTGACAGCCGGAGTAATTCACGCCCGGCCCTGGCAGAGAGCAGGAGCATCAGCATTTAGGTGGAGCTGCTTTCCACAGGCTCCGTCTCCAGGGAGCAACCGGGGGGGGCAGGAGGGACGGCAGGACACCGGCTCCGCTTACCGAGGAGTTTTTCGGCCAGCGTTGTCAGCTGCTCGATGCTGAGGCCGCGTTTTGTGGTGGAGGAGAACTGCCAGCTCAGCACCTCGGCCACCTGGTCCCAGGTCCCGATGGGCGGTTTGGTGAAGAAGTTCACGTTCTGCGCAGGGGAACACACGGCCCTGAGTGAGGCATGGGGTGGCAGCGGGTTCCTGCCCCATGGTTCCCTTCTCCCTGTCCGCACCGCCGCTCTGCCAGAGTCCCCCCCGCGCCGGGCCCTACCTTGGGGTTGTTGGTCAGCATGTTGTACCACAGGATGGACGCCCAGGCGTTGGGCATCTGGCAGATGTTGGAGATGACCACCACAGGCAGCGAGTGGGTCTGCAAAGAGAAGATGTGACCACACAGGCCGGGACATCTCCCAGGGTCCCTGTGCAGCGAGGGGCACACGGCTCACCTCCAGGTCGATCTTCAGCCCCTGGTGATACACCTCTGTCTCGAAGGTGATGAGGTGCAGCTCCTCAGTGACTATCAGCGAGGCCTAGGGCACAAGGGGACGCAGTGACACACCGGAGCCACCTGCCCTCGTGCCAACACGCCATCAGGCTGCTCGGGTCTGGGCGGAGAGGGCTGGTCCGACAGCAGCCAGCACACCCAAAGGTGCCTGCGGACACCCCCTTGGGGCAGGGCTCCCGCTGCCTCTCCCGGCTCAGCCGTAGGGAGCAGAGCTCTCCTACCCAGGGCTCCCCGCCCAGCACTTACATCGCAGTTGGCTCTGCCTCCGTTACCGCACCGCTGCTCCCGCAGGGTCTGCGGAGAGAGGGAAGGGGCTGTGGCAGCACCGCGATGGCACCCGGTCTCCGCAGGAGCGCCCCGGAGCTTGCGGCACCTACCAGGTGCTTGAACTCTGCCGAGAGGCTGCCGTTGTTGGACTCCTCCATGTTCATGACCTTGGTGTTTGTCCCCAGGATGTTAAACTTCCGGGACCTGGAAAGAGGAAAGACGGAGCATGGCTGACGGGGCCCTCCTGCAGCAAGCATGCCGTAGGACACTTGTTGGGATTAAAAGCAGAAGCAAGAAAAAAAGAACTGCACTTACCCCCGAAGTGCCGCGACGTCCCCGGAGTCCCTAGGAAAGAGGAGAGAGACACCCACTGATGACTGTGACCACCTTCCCCCCCACCCCAACACGGACAAGCTGGTGTGTGGGGCTGGCTGCACCACAGCTCAGAGTCCCACAAGCTCCCCAGGCTGTCCCCCCACATGGGAACGAACCCCTGGGACACAGTGCCACCCTTGGGACACAGTACTGCCCTCCCCTTCTACGGGGGGTCACGCTGGCCCTGGGTGCAGGGATGCAGCCCGACCCGCTGGCAGCAGGAGCAACCCCCGCTCCCGTAACACCCCCCAGCGCTGCCGGGCGCGGAGCACGGAACTCACTTGTCAATGCAGACTTTGATTTTCAGC